ATATGTATATCAGTACATACCTTCAGGGTGTCTGTTAGAAGTAGCAACAACAGTCACTCCGTTATTAAATAATGATGTGAAGAGACTTTTCAGTATCATAGCATCAGTGATATCAGTAACCTAATGATGAAGGATAGACCATCATACACTGTATGTACATATGTAGAGAAGGAATGGAGGAATATAAAGGAATGGGTATTATTATTATTAGGAGAGAAGGAGAAGGTATTGACTGAATACTAACTTGAAATTCATCAAAGCACAATAGTCTGACATTAGTAGCAATGTCACTGGCCACATGACCAATAGGATCATACAGTCTACCTGATCCACCTGATGATGACTTTGGTAATAACTGCTTGAAAGAATGGATCCCTTTATAAGGAGAGAGGGATCACATAGCATAAGGACATCAGTATGTATCAGATAATGTAATAATAATTTGGGGTGATTTCGGAGCCATTTTTCAGAAAAAACCATGGGCTATTATAGCCTTGGGTATTTTTCAGAATTTTGGCATTTTCTTAAAATGGCCGTAACTTGAAAATTTGAAGTCAGAATCAGCTCAAACTTGCTACAGAGCATAAGGACATCAATATGCATCAAAAAATGTAATAAAAATTTGGGGTGATTTCGGAGCCATTTTTCGGAAAAAACCATGGGCTATAATAGAATTTTGGCATTTTCTTAAAATGGCCGTAACTTGAAAAATTGAAGTCGGAATCAGCTCAAACTTTCTACACAGCATAAGGACATCAATATGTATCAGAAAATGTAATAAAAATTTGAGGTGATTTCGGAGCCATTTTTGGAAAAAACCATGGGCTATAGCCTTGGGTATTTTTCAGAATTTTGGCATTTTCTTAAAATGGCCGTAACTTGAAAAATTGAAGTCAGAATCAGCTCAAACTTTCTACACAGCATAAGGACATCAATATGTATCAGAAAATGTAATAAAAATTTGAGGTGATTTCGGAGCCATTTTTTGGAAAAAACCATGGGCCTTGGGTATTTTTCAAAATTTTGGCATTTTCATTAAAATGGCCATAACTCGAAAAAATTTTGTTGGAATCAGCTCAAACTTACTACATAGCATAAGGACATCAATATGCATCAAAAAATGTAATAAAAATTTGGGTGATTTCGGAGCCATCTTTTGGAAAAAAAACCATGGGCTATAGCCCATGGATATTTTTCAAAATTGACCCGTTTTTTAAATGGCCATAACTTGATGATGAATATACATGTAGATGCAGTGTCTCTAATCTCACTTGAGTGAACACTTAGCATGAATTCATTGAAATGATATCTTTGTTTAGCAACTGATGACGTCACTGAATTGAAGAACAAATCCATCAACATAGTCTTACCAGAGCCTAAAGAGCAATGACTAGTAAATTATTAGTAAATTCCCTGTATATTCACATGTACACATTACAAGTATAATTACCAACTGATCCATGCATGTAAGCTCCTTTTATTATTCTTCTATTTTGTGAAGTTTTCGAGCGATTAAAAAACTAAAAACAAATAAAATTATAACAATAATTTATGTATCACTTCATTTATAAATTCATTAAAAATAAGTACATGTACATGTATGTATACATGTACATGTACTTAATATTATTACATACTTTGTTAAAGAGATTGGGTGAGGTAGATACATTTGGCTCATTCATCAGTTGGTGTCTGATTTGTTCTAGTTTCTCTACAATAGTAAACTGCTCTTCATCATAATTGAGTTTCCCAGTACCAACAAGCCTCTGGTACTCAGCACTGAGAGAAGAACTGTATCTAACAACTCCTGGAGAAAGAGGAGGAGGAAAGAAAAATAACAATAAGTCAAAGAAAGAGAGAGAGAGAGAGGGCGGGGGGCTCACCATTAAACAAAACTTGAACTCTCCTCCAACTGAATGCCATTTCTTGTGGGCGTTGGTCAAACAGACACACCCCCAATCAATATTAATCCATTACACAATGGATTAATGAAGAGGTTTTCTTTTCAGTTTTAAAGAAGTCTTTTACTGTGTGTTTTAAACTTTTTTTATGTTTGAGTGGATTTTGACTAATTTTTTGAGTCATGACCATTTTTAAAAGTAGGAAATTTTCAGAAAAAGCAAAGGCTATAGCCCATGGTTTTTCCAAAAAAGAGCCAAAAAATCTCCCTAAATTTTTATTATATTTTCCAATACATACTGATATACTCATGCTACATTAAAAGTTTGAACTGTTTCTGAAGACAAATCATTATTCTAAAACCATAAGTTATTTCTACTATTGCATAAGGTATGCCCGGACAGCCCCTAGTTTGCATAGCCTGAAATCTTTCAAGTTCATTCCTGCATATAAAAGAGCATCGATGAAGAGTTACACATACGGACATACATAATGTATCAGCTAGCGGTCTTGTGATTGTTTATTTAAAGGTTAGAATAACTTAAGTACTTCCGGCCTGATTGAGAAACGTTTAATGAGACTGCCGGAGGAGACTAAACCCGCAAAATAACAACAAATAATTGTTAAAGTTTTCATAGGAAAAATCGGATTAGGTATTGTTATTGTAAGAATGACACTAGCAACGTGACTGCACGTGAGAGCTAAAGAGAAACAATCAGAGCAAGGAAATGATGATACAGAAATAGGCTATACAGAGAATTGTGTATAATATCTATGATATAGATGAGGTTCATATAGCAATAGTTGTTTGCATAGTTTCAATACAGTATATGGCTGCATATAACTTGGCATTTTGATAGTCAATAATTTTGTCAAAATAAAGCCACTCATTTTGAGCCATACTGTGGATACTCAATGACACATAAACATGAATAAATCTGCCAAATTAAAACTGATTTGCCTATCACCTAAAATAATTATTTGCCCCCTCAAATTTACCAGCTATAAACTGCATTAGTTTTTCTATTATCCAATATCCAATGATGATAATGATGATTGAGAAAATAATAAATCAAGAATGATCAGAACAACTTGAAAAACACAAATAACATGATTGAATGAATTGAATATAATATAAGAGTGATAAATGCTGAAGATAAATATTGATGAGTAAATATATTTTGGTGAGTAAATATATTGATGAATAAATGCTAAGAGAAAAAGGGGCAAATAATAATAATAATAATAATAATAATAATAATAATAATAATAATAATAATAATAAACCTGTTTTACCATGCAGTCAAACTGATCCTCTCAAAATAATAATAATCATTATAATTGTAATATCACTATTAATCATTCTATCATTGAGATGACTGTACATCGCTATTACCTTCATCATCTGAATCCAATTCTTCCTCAATTTCCTCATCATCCTCTGGTCCAGTATCCTTCCCGGCCTTCTTCTTTGCTCTTTTGTTACAAAACCAAACTCGAACCACTTCAAATCTAATCCCAAGCTTCTCTGCTAAGGCCTTCAAAGCTTTCACCGACGGCTTGGGGTTGTTCTCAAACTCTTTCAAAAGCTGCTTCTTAGTCTGGACTGGTATAGCTGTCCTTCTCCTCCTTCTTTGATGGAAACTGGTCAGCCACTGACTGAGCTGTTTAATCTCGGTCTCGTTTATTCCTCTGTTCCTAAGAGTGTCCATTAGCCATTTCTCCAAGTGAGTCTTCATAGCCGACATCTCTTCAAACGAGAGAGCCTTGCTCTCAAACTGCTGCAGTTGCTGCTCTGTCATTTCGAAATTATACCGAATACTGATCTGTTGTGCTACATGCTGCTTTGAGTATTCGTATCTAATACGACTCTCTTTAAACCTATCAGCAAATAGCCTCAGTCTTCTTATCCCTTCTATGTCCACATTGCGACATGAAGCTCGGATCGGTGAGTCTGGAGAATCGGGATTATACCCACTAGGGCCTGGAACAGGAGTGGGAGCAGTAGGAGGCTGTGATAGAATGGGCTCTGGTATATAAGGAGTGGAAGGGAGAGAGGGGAGGGAGGAGGGAGGGAGAGTAGGAATAGGAGCAGTAGGAAGATCAGGAGAGTCTTTACTGTTGTTATCATTATTGGTACGTGGTAGAGGAACTGGTATCAAAACCTGCTTACTCCCTGAGCTATCCTTCTTCTGCAACTCATGGATTATTGGAGGGAATATGATATGAGTTGGTTTTGCCATTACGGGTTGAATGTACTCGGACTGTCGTACTAAAGATTGGTGATACTGGGGCAATGGACGACGGACTAATGGTTGCTGTGGTAACTGTTGCTGAGGTAACCGTTGCTGTGGCAACTGTTGCTGGGGTAATAAATGCGAATGAACAGGTGGAGGCTGATGATAGAGCAATACTTGATTGGAAGATGAAGGTTGTTGCTGGGGTACTGGTTGCTGCGGTAACTGTTGCTGGGGTAACTGTTGCTGGGGTAATGGTTGCTGTGGTAACTGTTGCTGTGATAACTGTTGCTGGGGTACTGGAGGATGTTGGTGAGATGTATATAAAGGCTGCAGCTGATTATTTGGATGCAGTGGACAAGGATTGTTAGTAGGAGCTGCTGGTTGGACATGAGAACAATGATGATGATCATGATGATGAATATTCAATGGATGCTGTGGATACTGTTGGCAATGAGATATAAACTGGTGCTGTTGGTGCTGTTCAGTTTGAGTTCCTGCACGTTGAAATGAAGCTCCTTCTCCTCTATCATAATGCACCTGGTACCTGCATGAAGGACGTAAAGGAGGAGTTATTGAAGTATGCAATCCTTCTGATAATGGCCGACTGGGTACCTGGGGTACATAGTGCCCAGAAGATACTATTGAATGTGAGTGAGGTCTTTGTTGTTCTAAATCAATTGAATGATGAGAGTGACCCACCTGATAATGGAGAGGAACTGAGAGAGGTTGTAAATATTCTTGACTGCGACCACCTGCAGTAGCAGCAGCTTGAGCTGCATACATCGCATTGAGGTCTGCTGCAAGGAAAGAATCCAGATTAAAGTCTGTACTATATGCTGAAGGTTGCTGTTGTGATGGGAGTGGGATAGTCTCTGGTTGTCCATGCTGTAAGTTCTGATATTGATAATGAAATTGATGTTGTGCAGAGAAATCCGGCGGCCATTCCTCCGGAGCCGAGCTTGCCGCGGGGGGCCGAGACGGATGATTGTTCATTAGCTGTTATGATAGAAAATGGAGCGGTTGAATGATGGACGACTGAGCCTATGGGTCACTTTATCACTTCTCTTGCTATTCTTGATAATACTAACTATAAAATGAGAAAAATCATTAATAAATGATGGGTGAGGCTTCAGCCTCCCACTATGATGCGAGTGCACTGTATCGGTGTGGTGGTATGCTTCCCGAGGTTTAACAAGCTGTATTGTCGTAATTTCCATAGTGTCCTTACCTTTAAAAGCTGGCCCTTTACTCCAGAAAGGCTCAGAAGAGGACAGCTAGTCAAAACGTGCAGCCTCTGGCCTCTGCTCTCACCTTCAACACATTACCACGTGTGCGAGCAGACCACGCCCACACACTGCCCTATTGTTTTTATAGGACCAAATCACCAAATTTTTTTTACAACAATTATAATAATTTCTTGTAATAAAAATCAAATCTAATATCATTATTTTTATTATATTATAACACACAAAAATACTACAGCAAGAAAGAGAGAGAGAGAGGGAGGGAGAGAGAGAGAGAGGGAAGGAGAGAGAGAGTGTGAGAGAGAAAAAGTGAGAGAAGGAGAGAGAGATCAATAGTTTAAATATTACGTTTTCTTTCCCCCAAACCAATTAATAAACAGTTCTTCGTACTCCTTACATTGCTCGTCTGCTGGAAACTCCGCCCTCTTCCTTAGCCTCATGTTCCTCTCCTCAAAAAACTTATACACAGTATAGAACAACATGTGATCGTCTTCATTAGCAGCTGCTTCAAGGAACAGTCGGGCCGAGACAGTATCAACTTTATCCGAGGCTTTAACAAAACGTAGAGCAGACAAAATCTGTCCTCGGGAGAGTAGAATATCGATAATCTCACTATCGGCTGTTCCTAGTCTTTTAAACATGTCCATAGCCAGCTGTGTAGCCGGCGAATAGACCAGTTCTTTAGAGAGGAGGAGGGTAGCAAGAGGCTTTGAGTCACAGATAACGTGATACTGGAGGAACTGGTGGAGCTGATAAAAGCACTTGTTCTCTATTAGTATCACCATCACTAGCTCAAAGAGAAAGTGCTCCACTTGAATACCAAATTTATTCAGCGAGCGGATGTACTCAATAGTCACGGCGACCATGTACTGATAAGGCATGTCTTTGCGGTCAGAAAAAGGAACAAGAACGTTTGTGTAAAACTCTCGCTGGCTGATTGAGTTTTGATACGGTTTCCCAGGCCCAATGTCATGATAGCCGGACAGGATTTTAAAGGCGTGGTTAAGCTGATCAAACATGGCTCCCAAGATGGAGAGATTTGCTTGTCTACCAGGTTCAAGACATTCTCTGAAAACCTCAACTATGACATCCTTACCTCCAGACCTCATGAGGAGGAGCTGGATCACGTTACACTTGTCAGTCATCATATTACTAATGGAGGTGAGGTTTAGTTTGAGTAACCATATCACACCATACTGAGCATCAATGACAACATTTGGTTGGAAGAATATCCACTTTGATGAATAGAGCTCTGGAGTGATACTAGTGATGGATGAATCATGAGCTATCAGAGAATCATCAGTTATGATCTTAGGACTGGGTGTCTTGCTGCCAGATCTCTGTCTCAAATGGACTACAGTGGGGGATAGAGGTAGAGGGGCCAATACAGCATTGTGCTTTAAAGTAGATCCTGATATACTACCTCCAAACGATATGTCATAAATCATTGAAGTCTTTGATGCTTGATGATGTACCACCACTAGATTATCAACGACACTTAGCGTACAGCGACCCGGTATGTCCATATTTAGAATATGGGATAGTTTAGCCGCTCCGTCGTGAGGAAGGTGGAAGAGAAGGACTTCGGAGCCAAAACCAGGGCCTTGGGGTGACGTCCGTATAACAGCGATATAAACATGACCGTATAAGGTCATGACAAAAACGTCACGTTCCTTAAGCGACGCCTTGAGATCTCGACTTGGGCCAAGCTCAATCTCAATCTTGGGTAGACGAGTGATTGGTACCGAAGATCCAGAACGGAAATAAAACGGATGAAGGAAGTTCCCACCTTTAGAACACACAATCAGTATGTACTCAGTAGGCGAGAATATGGCCCATGACACGTTTATATTGAATGACTTGAGTAGTTTGAAGCTCAAGCTGCTTGAGTTACAAGAATACAGCTCAACTGTTGAGGTGGTGATGAGGATCACGTAATCATTACGGAAAACCCAATGGAAACCAACCACGTCATACTGGTGCTGTTTTAGGGGGAGGGTCTGCTCACGATCGGACGAAAAGACGTTTACAAATTCAACGGAATTGCTCCGAGTTTGAATTGAGAGGATTTTTGGTTGACCACCTGAGAATTTGATACTCCTGACCTGACCACGCTGAGGTATGGTAAGGTTAAAGTTGTCTTCTTCTTTGACTGATTTAACCTGAAGAATGGAAAGATTATGAATCATAATTACCAATCAGTCATTACATACTAGCTGTATATACATGTAGCTAGTGATTTTGGAAGGGAAAACTTTGATGAATTGCTACACTTTTATGATTGGTGGGTTCAATTTAGTTAATTTGTGTATTAAGATTCAAGATGGCTGGTTTTATTTGGACAAATGGTTATCAAAAATACCAAATCCGGCAAAACTCCCACCAAAATACCTTACTATATAGAAGTACAAGTACAATCATAACTAGTAAGGACACCTTTATAATGAGGACACTTTGTAATGTCAACCGGATTAGTTCAAACTACTATCGTCTCTTCTATCTCCGTTATTTACCTTCACTTTAGAGAATCCTTCTTGTACACAGAACATTTGAAAGTTCCCTTGATCGAAGAAGCTTCCTTTCGTCTTCTCCAAAGGATCAAACACCAAAGGAACTTGCTCCAACTCCAAGTAATGACTACCGATAGACGCCATTTTAAAAGTGGGCGTGGTCAACAAACACTAATTAATTCATGGATTCAAAATTATTAATAATTTAAAAAATTTAACCGGGTAGACCCAACAAAAATATTTAAAAACTTTAAGAATATCTATGCTTTTTGTAAGTAACCCGCCCGGCCCTAGTCCTAATTATAGGAACGTCATCATCGAAATTATCTTCAAATTCAATTTTTCGTCTTTTGTGACGTCTTGATTTATTCCGAGTCATCCTCCTCTTACTCCTCCTGACCCTCTCTCTCTCCTCCTCCTCTTCCTCCTCCTCCTGGTCGCTATCAGTCTCCAGCTGTTCATGATGTATCACTTTAGAACGGCTCCTAGTGACTCTAGTGTTACCCTCCTCCTCTTTCTCTTCTAAATACTCAAACTGCTCCTCCTCCTCTTCCTCTTCTCTGGTGTAAGACACGTCACTGTGACGTTCACTAGTTACATCACTCGTCCCTTCATTATTAATAGCCACACCCTCATCCTCCTCTTCGTCATCATCATTAGTAGTAGGTGTGGTCTTTATCTTAGAGGGTGTGGTACCAGCGATGATGTTATTATCTATTGAGCTAAGGCTACCGGCTATTCTTTCTAAAGCTTTCCGAGTGTTGTAGTGATGGGTGTGATCAGGAGTGACCCCAAGATAGGACTTTGATTGCTCGTTGAGCGTGTTTTGAAGAGTAACGGCCATTTTATATACCTGAGGAGAGAGAGAGAGAGAGAGGAAAAGAAAATGCTAAACAAATTAACACAGATATTATTATAACATGATAATGGACTTAGAGAATTAAAAGGGCAATAATGTACATGTACATGTATAAAATAACAAGTTGAAATGTTTGTCATTAATTCTATCATCATTAATTACTGTCATCACATATACACTTCATATAGCAGAAGTGAGATCAACAAGAAGTACAGTACACTCCTTTATATTGAGAGTTGACATACCATACATTATAACTGACAATACATGAACCACACACTACAGTCAGTATCATTATTAGGCTACTACCAGTATATGTACATGTACTAAAATGTCACTGCAGTATAATTAAACTGATACTTGTAAAAGTGTTCTCATTATTTTATAATAATTGCACCAGAACTATATGCACTGTCATTACTGACACTATGGACACTGTGCGGGTGAGTAAGAGTCATTGTGGTCAGATAATTAAGCAGCGCTGGCAGTATTAAGGTCAGACAAGAATAACAATAAAAATAACAACCCTCCTTTCACCTCACCTCTTCATAATGCAATATCTACTCTTTCTTTCTTTTCTCTGTCACTCTCTCTCTCTCTCAGCACCTAGTGTACCAATTACGTACCATATAGTGCTTTAATTTGGCAGAGTTTTATTTTGGTGATTGGTGGTTTGCAAGCAGATTCACCAATATTAAACCGCCAATCATTAATGCGCATGCTCAGTAATGCACGTGTACACAAAAATCGCCAAATTAAAAACTGCCAATTACAATTTTTACAGCAAAATCGCCAAAATAAAGCACTATACGGTATGCAATATCTACTAATTCTCAATTCTCTTTCTTTTCTCTGCCTCTCTCCCTCTCTGTCTCTGTCTTTCTCTCCTTCATTGTCTATAATAATTCATTTCTTCTCTCCCTCCCCCCCTTGATGTACCTCTGATTTAGTTTTATTATATTCCTTAGCATTGTTGAAGATGAGGTTCATGTCTTCAAGGAATGATCCACAGGTCTCATATGTTTCTTTGAATAGTTTATCCTGGACTGTGGAGAGATCCATTGGGTGTTTTATGACTGTTAAATAATCCTAAAATAATAAAATAAACTAATAATAGTTTCTACACATGAAAATGAATAATTCTCTCCTTTTCAATTTTGGTGAAATTTGTCTAAAATTCCTGTACTATAGTACAGGGACTTTGGCCTAATTTTGGAGCAACTTTAAAAATTCGTCAAAAATTTAATTTTGATCAGAATCAGTTCAAACTTTCTACACAACATAAGAACATGTATATGTATCAGGAAATATTATAAAAACGTAAAATTCTCTCTTTTTAATTTTGGCAAAATTTGGCCTGTGGCCTTGTACTATAGTACAGAATGCTTGCCCCAATTTTGGAGCAACTTTAAAAAATCGTAAAAAATCTAATTTTGATTAAAATTAGCTAAAACTTTCTGCACAAGGACAGAGAATAGTTACTATTATTATTATTATTATTATTATTATTATTATTATTATTATTATTATTATCATCATTATTCTCACTGTATATATTGATGTATCGACTGGTTCCATGAAAGGATATGAGTCAGGATGTGATGAAATATCATCAATTAATCTAGAGGCACCTAATATCCAGGACTAGAGAGGGAGGTGAGGAATGAAAAGAATTAACAATTAGAAATATTACGTGTCATCAATAAAGAATATTATTATTTCTTACTGTATCATTGGTTGATTCAGCATTAGTAGCATCCTCATCTTCACTGATTAACCTCTGAATTAATAAATAAATAAACAAACAAATAAATAAATAAATATAAAAATAATAATATTACTTTAGTTCTTTTCTTAGTCATTCTCACTGGTCTATCACTGGGAGATACAGGAGTGGGCGTGGCAAGGGGCGGAGCAGGAGGCGGGGTCATAGGAGGTAGGAACACTTCAGTCTCTTGATCAATATCAGCAGTGATCTGATCATTATTATTATTAATATAATCATCAGTTAGAGGATCATGAGGAGAATAACAAGACATGGGATTAACACAATCAGGAGTACTAGATGATGATAACAATAATAATAGATTAAATAATAACAGTATTATCAACTTTTTTTTACAGATAAATGTTTTACAGCTACATTTACATGTACTACATTAATACTTCATACAATTATAAACACATTTATATTAGTATATTCAGAAATTGTATGTGTATACTTCTCAGTGTATGTCACTTACTTGATGAATTTGACAAGTGTCTGTGTCAATACTTTGCTGTTATTAACTATTGGACTGTCAGCTTCATTGTACTCTGAAGCATTACGACTTAACAATACAACCTCCCACAATAATGAGAGCTTACGTCTAGAGAGAGAAGAAATAAATAAATTAATTAATTAATAAATTAATAACATACATGTACATACACATTTATAATATTTATTAATGTACATAACCATAATTATTAAAAATTTGTACATGTACATGTAATGTTAAGAATCTACTAAAATCCTTAAAAATTGATCCCCAAATACATTAATGTACATGTACATTGTACATGTACACCACACTGTGCTGTACCTATAGAATCCATTACTGAGTCTGTTATAGATAGTCCTTAGATCAGTTGGTAGAGGTACCACAGTACAGTAGACCAGCTCCTCCTCTAGATTAACTGGTTCTTTAAACTGCTCAGCTTCTTCCATCTCCTCCATTATTGTCTCCAGTCCTTTAAGTATCCTCTCTCTCTCTCCTTCCCCCCAGGACTGGGAGAGAGGGAGAGAGGGAGAGGAGGAGGAGGGTAACTCCATGTCCCATGGGGAGAGTCTGTCAGTTACACCATCGTCCCATTTAACCTAACAATGATATATTGATAAATAATAAATTTACATGATAATAATAATAAATAGATGAATGTAAAGCATTAAGGCTGCACTATACAGTATACATGCACCAGGCAGTTCTATAGCTTGCAATGTGTTGGTAGTGTTGTCTAGAATAGAACAGGTTTCTATTCTAGGCAACAGTGTTTAGTGTTGCCTGAAGATCAAAGTAACCATAGATAGCCTGGTTGTATAGGAGCCTTAAATTAATGGAGTGATCCTAAGTCATCAAATCAATGTACATCATGAGTCTATAGATACAGTAGGTCTTGATGTATAGTCACTCTAATAGACTAATCTGTATCAGCTTAGTGTTAATACTCATGTACAATGTATGGATTGTATGGTCAGGGCAGCTCTTTTATAGTTAGTGGTTTGTTCTACATTGCTTAAGAATCTCTTCAGTAGCTGCATGAGGTTACCTTCCAGTTATATCATTTATCAACCATCAACAAGTAAGATAGCTTTAGTAACCTTTTCTGCTGATGCATAGACAGCAGTTCAGTTTGCTTTGAATTAATCACCATTTTATTTCACTTTGACAATAATCACTTTCAATGAAGATTACTTTAGTTACACTATTTATAATGACTCACTACTACATGTACAGTAGTGTGGGGATGGCCCAATGGTGTATATGCATGTCATTAACCTGATAGCACTGCCAGTAAGACTGAGGTAAAGCCTCATCAAGTGGTTCCTTCTTCAGTACCTTATAAAAGACTCATCAATAGGACACTATACACTGATGATGTTAGTACTTACTGTTCCAGTGTAGTACTGATTGTCAATGAGGCTCTTGAATATTGATCCATTGCTCCACTGGGTCTGTATACTGGTCTTATAAACACTCTCTAATATTAGGAAATCAACCACTCCATCCATATCATGATATCTGTAGGAGAGAGAATGTATCATGATTACTTTAACTAACAAATCACAGAATATTAGTAACCTATACTACTTACACCTATTTTATGACTAGATATTTCAATTATAATTCATTAGATTATGGTGTTAAAATACACTTTACATTTTGTGTATTTTTGGAAGGGGACATTTTGATGCATGTTGGTATCTTGATAGCCATAGCTTTAATAATAAACAAGCTGTTGTTTTGAATAGTTTGTCTTACTTGAAAGTGAAACTGATTTGTTTGTTGGTCTGTTGTGTGCTGGTGGAAGGAACATCAGAACCAACTGAATGTGTAGACAATAGAGCTAGAGGACAGAGGAAGGGCTATTAGTATTAGCATTACATGTGATGTATATTATAAACTATAAACGTGTAAGTACTGGGTGAGCCTGAGCAAGCATTGCAAAGTTAATATTTTATATTTCATATCAATTTAAAAAAAATTATTATTAAAAGTGAATAAATCGCAATACATTACTGAGTATAAATTTTAGCTGTAAAATCACTCGATCCATATCTGCCTAAATTTATTTTAATTAC